GTGGGGTTTTCACATGCAATCCGAAATACTTCCATCAAACTGGTCAACAGAGCCTTCATGTCATTTTCTCAGTTATTGTTTTAAAATGTTCACATTCTACTCTTAGAAAGATTCACTTGTACCCCTGTAAGATAAACCTCAGAAGTGATCCCTCCAATCCCCCTATGGGAGTATTTTGTAACCAAAGTTCTGAGTATGATGAGTTTGGATCTGCCAATAAGAAAATGCTGACCAGATTTTTGTAAATATGACCCTTTTGTAATTATGTACAGCCTCATCCTGTATAGTTTAATGATGAATGTGCAGGGGACCTTCCTTGGGCTCTTTGGCCTATAGCCAAGCTTGTGTGACTTTCTTACTGACTTATGTCTTCCCATGTAGATTGACCTGGCCAGAGATCCCCACACATCCTGTTGTTGGGGGCAGCCAGGAATGTTTCCATCCTCCTGCAATGGGGGAACCTTCCTTATTCCCCACATCCCTTCTCCAATAAAGCACCTGTGCTCTCAGCAATGGCTGAGATGTTTGTACTAAAAAAAAAAAAAGAAAGAAAAAAAATGCTGACCATTTTGTTTGCTTCCTTTCTCTGGTCTGTTAGGTAATACAGGCCTCTATTGAATTAATAACCATATCTGATATCCAGTGTCCTACTCACTGGGTTGGCTGGGGACAGACCGTGGGCCTTGAGGGAAGTGGTTGTTAATGAGGCCAGCCAGAGAAGTGCAGTGACATTTGTACTCGCAACTGGAGGGCATTCAAGATTACATGCACGTACTACAGATGCTGACCCTGCTTCCAGTCACCTGCCTAGAGTAAGCTATCAGGGGTTACCATTTGAGATACACAGGAACGAGCAGATGTGGTCTCCATAAAGGCATTTCTCTACTATTCCAGATATTCAGATCCTTAGGGTTGGAGCCATGAAGAAAGCCTGCAGACTGTTCACCGTTTGGATACTCAGAATTGGAAAAGATGCCCCTTCTTTATCCCTGTCCTTTCTTAAAAATGTGAAAACTGATTCGGTGCCTGTAGCACAGTGGTTACATTGCCAGCCACATACACTGAAGTTGCAGGTTGGAACCTGGCCTGGGCCAGCTAACCAACAATGACAACTACAACAAAAAATAGCCGGGTATTGTGGCAGATGCCTATAGTCCCAGCTACTTGGGAGGCTGAGGCAAGAGAATTGTTTGAGCCCAAGAGTTTGAGGTTGCTGTGAGCTATGATGCCACAGCACTCTACCCACGGTGACAGCTTGAGACTCTGTCTCAAAAAAAAAAAAAAAAAAATTGTGAAAGCCAATTCTTGGATATTGCTGCTGACTTTTGATTGTGTGTGCGTGTGTGGGAGTTATCTAAAGTTCTGAGTTGCTTTGATTAATTCACCAAATAGGTCTTGAGTTGCTTTCTTAAGTTTGGGCTGTGTAGTGGTATGGGGTCATTGTTTATCAGGTGCTGTCTAAGACCAAAAAAAAAAGATATTTTGGGGTTTCTCAAATACCTTGCCTTGCCCAGGCCCCAGCCCCTTCAGTAACATTAGGGTCTGAGCCTTCTGTCCAGAAAGCTGTTGCTGCACCTGTCTGTGCTTCATTAGATTGTCCTTTCAGCTGAAACCTGGCTGGGTTCACAATGACGACTCAGGAAGCTTGGGAGTTAGAAGGTGATGTTGGTGTGGTCTAAGCCCAGGGGGACCTACTCACCTTTCTTGGTTATTTCTAATGCATCCCAGGTGGGGAATCTACAGTCTAGGGCCAAAAAGCAGGTGGGCATTCTCTCCTTCCCTCCCAAGCAGTGCTGATGTCTCCCTTGCTGAACACAAGCTCCCTCTGAATACATTCCTGCCTGTTATCTAGGATAGCAGTCAGCATCGTTTTGGGGAACAGGGACTGGTTTTCTGGAAGACAGTTTTTCCACAGATAGGAGGCAAGGGACATCAGGGTCTTATAAGGAGCAGGCAATCTAGATCTTCCAATGCCAATTTACAGTAGGGTTCATACTCCTGTGAGAATGTAATATTGCCCTGATCTGACCGGAGATAGAGCTCAGGTGGTGATTCCAGTGATGGGAAGCTGCTGTAAATGCAGATGAAGCTTCCCTCACTCTCGCCACTCACTTCCTGCTATGCTCCTGGTTCTTAACAGGCCACAGCCTGAAACTGGTCTGCACAGGGTATTGGGAACCCCAGCTGTAGACGCCTGCGGTCTGTTCCCCCACCCCAGCCCTTCCAGGTAGTACACCCTCTATTCCTGGGATTCCTATGGCTTTGCTTCTTTTTAGAGGGGGGAATTGGGAAATCGACCACTTGAGGAAATTACAAGAAACAGCGAGTTCACCTTCCTGTCCCCATTTTCTTTAAGACTGAGCTGCTGCAGGTGTTGCTGGGGGCTAACAGACCTTCTCCCTACAGGCTCATGGGGCAGAGTGAATTCGATCACTGCCCACCTATGGAACGGCTGTAACATCTGCCCATGAAGGAAGGAATTCTACAAGTTACAGAGCACTTTTCGAGGCCTCTCCCTTTTCTGTTACCTCTCCTTTTGCAAGCCCTAAGAAAACTAATACTTAGCCACAGCATGAGGCAGCGAGCCCCATGGTGTGAGTGGTACACTTCCATGTGAGCCGTGCTCACCATGTTCGCAGGGACGGGATCAGCTGCGCCTGGAAGGCCTTACACGTGCAGTGAGTGCGGCAAGAGTTTCCGCTATAGCTCGGTGCTGCTGCGGCACGAGCGCACCCACCGCAGCAGCGGCTTCCCCTGCCTGGAGTGCGGGGCGAGCTGCGCACGGGCCACCGACCTCTGGGCGCACAGGTGCACACACCCTGGCCAAACCCTCTACGTTTGCAGCGAGTGTGGCCAGAGCTTCCGCCACAGCGGCCGCCTGGACCTCCACTTGACCACTCACTGGCGAGGTCGTACCTGCCTCTGCCGCCTTTGCGGCCGCCGTTTCACCCACCTCCCAGCGCTGCT